TCTGGGCCTGGCTACTGGCTTCTGCACTTTGGTACAAAATGACCATTGTTCCTCTCCAGGTTGCAGGCGCCCCACTGGTTACTGCAACGACTACTGCAGTGTCTTCAGTCCTGCTGGCCCCAAGTGTTTTCCAGCAGACAGTTACAAGGTCTTCAGATCTTGAGAGGAAAGCCAGCTCTCCTTCTCCTCTAACTATTGGAACGCCAGAAAGTCAGAGAAAGCCTTCCATTATTCTCAGCAAGTCTCAGCTCCAGGATACGTTAATACATCTCATAAAGGTATGTAGGATACCAATTTTATCTTTGATTTTTCATTACTTAATAAAAGAAATTGTATACATTCCTCCTACAGAATCAGTTCATAAAGTAAATTCAAAAGACTAGCTGGAGGCCGGGCAAAGTGGCTCACACCTGTAATCCCAGCACTTTGGGAGACTGGGGCGGGCAAAAAAAAAAAAACAGACTGGGAGTACTGTTTCTCTTTTTTCAAGCATACCGTCCTGGTGGAGAAATATCTGCGCGAACTCAATATATTAATCATGATTGTCTCTGGATGGTGGGATTATCAGTTATACAAATCATTTATACAATTTTTTTTCCTAAGCTGTTACCAAGGAAGTAAAATCTGTTGAGGTAAATGTGGCATTCGTATCCTTAACCTTTCCCATCTCTTCTAGAATGATTCCAGCTTCCTCAGTACACTTCATGAAGTCTACTTGCAGGTGCTGACCAAGAACAAAGACAACCACAACCTATGACTGGAGCAGAGTAAGTCTAAAGGCCGAGTGCTAACCTCAGAGACAAATAGGCTTCATCATGGAAACTTCTGAGCAGAACATCGAGTTTGAGAATCCTGAAATTGAGCCTATGAGAAAGAGACTCATTTCTTAAGAATGTTTTCCAAGTGACATTCTCAGTGATAATGGAGGTTTCACTGTGAAGCATCACCAGCAGACCTTTGTTTTGACAAAAAACAAAATCATTGTGTTAAGTTATGTGGGTGTTTTCATCAGCTAGGAGCAAGGCTGTGGAATAAGGAATCTGATTCTCAGCTCGCTTTCACTTTCAAGGACTTACAGAGGAGTAGTCACCAGCCTCACAGCAGAAGTTCAGCCTGGCCCCCACCGCTTGCCCCAGCCTACCCCATAGAAACAGGCTTTGGGCTGACAGTCAAGTTCTAAACAGAGTAGAAGGCAACTCTGCAAAGTAGCTTCGAGCTTTTAGGACCAGAATTTAAGCCGGCAAATTGGGAATGATTTCCTCAAGTGAAATGTATTTTATATGAATGCCCCATTTGGGCCTTAAAAGTTGTGAAATTTCTTAATAGTGTTTTGTTTTTAAGTGCCCCAGTCCTGCCCCGCAGCAGGCCCCCAGTGCAGCATTACCGTTTGAATAGGGCACTGTCAGGCTCTGGTGGTGTGGACACAGGCACGTCACACCTTTGAAGGAAGGCTGAAACTGGGAATGCCCACATCCTATCAGATCTTCATTTTAGGTTGAACTCTCCAATGGTTCTGAAAATGCTAAGTTTGTGTGTGAAGCACAGCCTTATTTTCCTTTTCTGTCATTGTTGATTGTTTTCCTTAACACTTTGACAAAAGGACCTGTGGACCAATCTGACAAAGCCATCCTGGTTCCTTTCCTTGAGTGTACTGAGAATAGTTTTAAAGCTATGCAGAAAAGGGAGCTGTTATTCACACTGCCCTTATTTTGTTGTAGAATTATGGAGTTAAAAGAAAATGTGATTCCAAACTCTACCAATGTATTCCTAGGCTGTGAGTACTTTCCCAGCCCAAAGTGTGAAAATATGTAAAGAAGCTTTGTTATGCTGCTATTGATCTGCCATGATTTCTATTTATTCTTTTATAGCATGTAATGGTGTTTAGTAATATTTTAATGTAGATTTTGATTTATTTCAGCAATAGTAATTTTAAGATATTCTTTGAATGAAAGTGTCTTTGTTTCTATGATACAGGTCATTTTGTAGTATTTAACCAATTAAGATGCACTGCTTACTTTTTATGAGCACTATTTAATGATGGGGTAAAAACCCAATTGGCTCAACCAGCTAGCATAAGGATTAGCTGTGAATAATGCTGACAGATATGATGGTTCCTTGGGAACAATCATTTAAGCTTTAATGGTAACTCAATCATAAGTCCATAGATTATTTTTTTCTAGCTGAAATTCTAGAAAATTACTTGTGAATTACATACTTGTTTTAGTTTGGTCTTAGTTTTTAGCATAAAGAATGATTGGCTTTTGTTGATCTAAACATGCTTCCTGGACAGGGTTTCTGCTTCTCATTTTAGTGTCTTCTATTGCTGTCTACCTAATTATGTGTGAATTGTGCAGAATTCAGGGAAGCTTATAAGTTTTCATGCTCAATTATGAATAGTTTGTTTTCACAGATAGTGTGTAAATTAAGCAACCAAAAATGAATTGCTTATGCATCATCTGGGAACGAGAAAGCTATAGTAGGATACAGAGTGTTGCTGACACCGAGAGATGGTATCCAGGGAGCCACGTGACTTCCATAAAGTGGACGCACCAGTAGGTGTGATTGCACCCCAAATGTGGTCTCAGTGGGCTTTGGTGAACAGACGAATCAAGGGATTCTTGAATTGAAATTATGCTTTTGAGTATGTAATATTATGAGAGAGTTAAGAGAGGATATCCTAAAGAGAGTCTGTGATCATATTAATTTTCACCTTTAATGCTAGGAATGGATATGATAGACAGTAAAGAGAATCTATGATAAGGCTTCCTTAGTGTGAAAGTAAACTTAAGTGCCCAAGTCATGAAGATTTGAAAAGGGTAAACCTGTTTCACCTCCCAAATTTATATATTCAAAGCATTTACTTAAAATTCAGAAGCCAGAAGTTCATGTCATGATTACCAGGAAGTTCAGGCCAGAATGAATCTCCAGAGAAGCCAGGCCAAGCCTGGATAATTGCAGTTGGATGACCCTGGCCCGAAAGTCACAGTTCAGTTGCCTTATTCCTAGTTCAGGCTTACTATCTAGAACCTCATGCTAGCTTAGGTTGCATGTTTACATTGCTGCAGTGTCTTTACTGGAAGCTTAGTTGAATCGAAATGGACACCGAGATGGAGATGCTTCTGGCTAAATTTCGCAGAACCCCAGGAGACCTGCATTTAGACCACTCTGTCCATTTTTGTGCCCACCCCCAACCCCAGGGTCTGAGTGTGGGCTCCAAGATGAGCAGCCTGGAGCTTGGAGGAGAGGTGTGTCTGGGGCACCACTGGTGGGTGGTACTGCTCTTCTTTTTGTTGTAGTTAATGTGTTGTCTTTTAATGGACTCTCACACCTCCCAGACAGCCTTGTTCCCTTAAGGCAGAAGCTCTTCTTCATTGTGTCCCTCCTGGGATTCAAAAGGTGTGAGATTTGGCCTGCTTGACTTTGAATTCAAGTTTTGCAAGTGACTCTCAGTGTCAGAAGCATTTCATGCTGTCCACATGTGATATGTCCACAGCTCACCTTCAGAGGCTTAGATGTAGCCATCACAGAGAGTGGTATTTTATTAAGAACCCAAGTCCCAGCCTGACCAACGTGGTGAAACCTTGTCTCTACTAAAAATACAAAAATTAGCCGGGCGTGGTGGCGCACGCCTGTAATCCCAGCTACTCAGGAGGCTGAGGCAGGAAAATCACTTGAACCCGGGAGGCAGAGGTTGCAGTGAGCCGAGTCCGAGCGACTGCACTCCAGCCTGGGCGACAGAGCGAGACTCCATTTCAAAAACAAAGAAAAAGAAAAAAAAAAAGTCAAGCTGGGCCCCTATCTACAGGGGGACACACAAGCTTAGTTTAGTATATGTCTAACCAGATTTTGCATGTCAAGCATTTGTTCTTTTCCTGGCTTATGTTTTCTTGTAGAAATTATATAAACCCTATCATCCACTACTAGGTAAATTTTTAAACCATGCAGCTTTATTACTCTCCTCCCCCAAAGAATGTAGTTTGAAATTTTCTCATTTCTGTAGTAGAGGCCCCTAACTGCCATTGTATTACTAATAATGCAACATGAAATTGAAGGTGCCTAACTGCTCAAAAAACAAAATCAGCCATCATACTGTAACTCTGAGAGGAGTGAGAGGTGGCACAGGCACGAGTGGGCTCAGCCCGTGTGAGTGAGGAGAACTGAGGAATCACGGGGTGCGCATCCTGCATCCTGGCTGCACATTTGCTGCAGAGCACGTGTTTCTTTCTTGCCTCCCTTCGGTTTTCTTCAGTTGCGTTCAGTGTACCTTCTGGAACCAATAGTGCTCTCTGTTTTCAAGTCTCTCAAATGCTAAGATCTGAGCACAGTCAAGCAGCTTACACTAGGCTTTTTTACAGCTGTGCTTGAGAACATTTCCGAGTGGACCAGGGCCTCGAGGAGCCAGTTTTTCAGCAAATTTAGCAGATGTGTGCAGTGATTCCCTCTGTTTTGTATTTGACACCTTCATTTAAAATGCTAAGATGCAATATCATTCAAAGTGGGGAAAATGCAGAATTGTGTTTCCTTTTTATCCGTGTGATTCCTTAAGAAACATGTTTTTAAAATATGTGTTCTAAATGGTTTTTTATTCTGTATTACTGCTTTGGCCATGTGGCTCTCATGACTTTCATTGTACCAGATTCTCAGCTCCCTGAAATGTGGGGACGAGAAGCTCTGGAATTACAGCAAGGTTTTTGTTCCATGAGCGCAATACTGTATCATTAACATTTTTAATGGTATGGATTTTATACCATCTCTGTATGTTTGCAAATATTAAGTTATTACATGTTTTAAAATGAGCGTTTTTCATCCTAAATTTTATATGTTTGCAAATATATTTTTTTAATAAAATTTCAAAACCAAGTTTTAGCACCTACTAAAATTTAATTGTGTTTTTATTTAATTTGTAGAAATAGGAACTTTTGAGTTGCTGCACTTTGCAGAGTGCCATACTGGTGAAATGGGATGAGGCAAAAAAACAGAACTGACAAAACTGTTATCAGCTCCTTTTGTAGTTCATAAGCATGACGATTAGGTGTTCACACGCAGGTGTGAGATGTGCCATCCTGAAACATTGTTACAATGTCGGCATATTACCTGTCTGACACAGAAAAAAGAAAGAAAACTGTTATCTACCTGTTTCCAGCCTGTATTGTCAGGGTTCTCCAGAGAAACAGACCTGATAGAAGATAGAGGTACATACCATGTGGTATTTCAGTCAACAACGGACCACATCTATGACAGTGGCCCCATGGAGTTATAACCCTATTTTTATCCAATCTTCTCTATTTTTAAATACACATATACTTATCCTTGTGTTATAGTTGCCTACAGTATTCAGTTCAGTCACATGCTGTACAGGTTTGCAGCCTAGGAGCCATAGGCTGTACCATGCATGTAGCCTAGGTGTGTAGTAGGCTATACCATCTAGGTTTCAGTTACCCACAGTCAACCCAGGTCTGAAAATATTAAATACAAAATTCCCGAAGTAAACCATTTTAAGTTTGATGCTGTTCTGAGAAGCATGATGAGATCATTTGCCATCTCACCCGGGCTGCGAATCATCCTTTGCCCAGCAAATCCACGCTATATATGCTGCCCACCAGTTAACCACTTAGTAGCCATCTCAGTTATCAGACCAACTGTCGGGGTATTGCAATGCTTGTGTTCAAGAAACCCTTATTTAATAATGGCCCCAAAGTGCAAGAGTAGTGATGTGGCAAGTCGGGTATGCCTAAGAGAAGCCATAAAGTGCTTCCTTTAAGTGAAAAGTTAAAGTTCTCAACCTTTTAAGGAAACAAAAGTCACATCTGGCCGGGCACGGTGGCTCACACCTGCAATCCCAGCACTTTGGGAGGCCGAGGCAGGTGGATCACCTGAGGTCGGGAGTTCGAGACCAGCCTGACCAACATGGAGAAACCTCGTCTCTATTAAAAATACAAAATTAGCCAGGTGTAGTGGCACATGCCTGTAATCCCAGCTACTGGGGAGACTGAGGTAGGAGAATTGCTTGAACCCGGGAGGCACAGGTTGCAGTGAGCCAAGATCATACCATTGCACTCCAGCCTGGGCAATAAGAGCAAAACTCCATCTCAAAAAAAACAAAGAAAAGTCACATCTGGGCCGGGCGCGGTGGCTCAAGCCTGTAATCCCAGCACTTTGGGAGGCCGAGATGGGCGGATCACAAGGTCAGGAGATCGAGACCATCCTGGCTAACATGGTGAAACCCCGTCTCTACTAAAAATACAAAAAACTAGCCGGGCGAGGTGGCGGGTGCCTGTAGTCCCAGCTACTCGGGAGGCTGAGGCAGGAGAATGGCGTAAACCCGGGAAGCGGAGCTTGCAGTGAGCTGAGATCCAGCCACTGCACTCCAGCCTGGGCGACAGAGCGAGACTCCGTCTCAAAAAAAAAAAAAAAAAAAAAAAGAAAAGTCACATCTGAGGTTGCTGAGATCAACATAAAAATGAACTTTGCATCCATAAAATCATGAAGAAAAACTTTGCTCCAGTTTTGCCGTTGCTTTTTTTTTTTTTTTTTTTTTTTTGGACACATTATCTGTCGCCCAGGCTGGAGTGCAGTGGCCTAATCTCAGCTCACTGCAACCTCTGCCTCCTGGGTTCAAGCAATTATCATGCCTCAGCCTCTCGAGTAGCTGGGACTGCAGGCATGCGCTGCCCACCGGGCTAATTTTTGCATTTTTTGTAGAGATGGGGTTTTGCCATGTTGGCCACGCTGGTCTCAAACTCCTGACCTCAAGTGATTTGCCTACCTCAGCCTCCCGAAGTGCTGAGATTTCAGGTGTGAACCACCATGCCTGGCCTGCTGCTGTACTTTAAACTGCAAGTTATAGCCATGGTGTGTGATAAGATGGAAGAGGTGGCTGAGTGCAGTGGCTCACACGTGTACCCCCAGCAGTTTGGGAGGCCGAGGAGGGAGGATCACTTAAGCCCAGGAGTTCAAGACTAGCCTGGGCAACAGAGTAAGACCCTATCTCTACAAAAAAATTAAAAATTAGTTGGGCATGATGGCTTGTGCCTATAGTCCCAGCTATTCAGGAGGCTGAAGTGGGAGGATCGCTTTAGCCCAGGAGGTGGAGGCTGCAGTGAGCCATGATTGTGCCACTGCACTCCAGCCTGGGTGCTGAACACCCTGTCTCAAAACAAAAGATGGAAAAAGCATTAAATTTGGTGGAAGACATGAACAGAAAATGTGTTCTGATTGACAGCAATATGTTGCACCAGAAAGCATTGAGCCTATCCAGAGACTTAAAAGATACCTTTAAATGGGGACACCAAGCTATTTACTACAAGAAAGGGATGGTTACACAGATTTCAGGAATACAGAAGGTCAACAGGAGCCTAATGCTATATCACAATGCCTACGTCATCACCTCACTTATCATCACATAGGCATCATACCATCTCATATCATCACGAAAGAAGGGTGAGTACAATACAATGATAGATGATAGATGATATAGATAGATTAGACAGATAGATAGCTTTCTGTTTTGGTTTTGAGACAGAGTCTCTCTCTGTTGCCCAGGCTGGAGCGCAGTAGTGTGATCTCGGCTCACTACAACTCCACCCCTCTCCCAGGTTCCAGTGATTCTCGTGCCTCAGCCTCCCAAGTAGCTGGGACTACAGGTCTGCACCACCACGCCCAGCTAATTTTTGTATTTTTTAGTAGAGACAGGGTTTTGCCATGTTAGCCTGGCTGATCTCAAACTCCTGACCTCAGGTGATCTGCCCGCCTCAGCTCCCAAAGTGCTGGGATTATAGGTGTGAGCCACCATGCCCAGCCTACAATAAGATATTTTAAGAGCTAGGCGCGGTGGTTCATGCTTGTAATCCTAGCACTTTGGGAAGCCAAGGCAGATGGATCACCTGAGGTCAGGAGTTCAAGACCAGCCTGACCAACATGATGAAACCCTGTCTCTACTAAAAATACAAAAATTAGCCGGGCGTGGTGGTGCACGCTGTAATCCCAGCTACTCAGGACCCTGAGGCAGAAGAATCGCTTGAACCTGGGAGGTGGAGGTTGCAGTGAGCTGAGATTGCGCCATTGCCCTCCAGCCTGGGCAACAACAGTGAAACTCCATCTCAAAAAAAATAAAAATAAAAAGACATTGACTCACATGGTTATACAGGCTGAGAATTCCCACTGTCTGCTGTCTGCAAGCTGGAGACCAGGAAATCCAGTGGTCTAGATTCCAGACTGGGTCTGAAGGCCTGAGAACCAGGAGCACTGAAGGCAAAAGATGGATATCTCAGCTCAGGCAGTCAGGCAGAGTTAATTCATTCTTATTTATTTATTAGAGATGGGGTCTCTCTATGTTGCCCAGGCTGGAGGAACTGGGGATCCTCCTGGTAACTGCTCAGGACAAATCTGCCTCCCGTTCTATTCAAAGTCATCCTTTTGCTCACTGAGAAGCATATTCTGATTGCCTCCTTTGGAAAGGCTTATCAGAAGCTCAAAGAATGCAACCATTTTTCTCTCACCTACCTATGACCTAGAAACCCACTCCTTGCTTCAAGCTTTCTGGATGGAACCAGTGTACTTTTTTTTTTTTTTTTTTTTTGAGACAGAGTCTGCCTCTGTCGCCCAGGCTGGAGTGCAGTGGCCGGATCTCAGCTCACTGCAAGCTCTGCCTCCCGGGTTAACGCCATTCTCCTGCCTCAGCCTCCTGAGTAGCTGGGACTATAGGCGCCCGCCACCTTGCCTGGCTAGTTTTTTGTATTTTTCGGTAGAGATGGGGTTTCACTGGGTTAGCCAGGATGGTCTCGATCTCCTGACCTAGTGATCCGCCCGTCTCTGCCTTTTTTTTTTTTTTTTTTTTTGAGATGGAGTCTCACTCTGTCACCCAGGCTAGAGTGCAGTGGTGCAATCTCGGCTCACTGCAACCTCTGCCTGCCAAGTTCAAGCAATTCTTCTGCCTTAGCCTCCTGAGTAGCTGGGACTACAGGCACACGCCACCATGCCAATTTTTGTACATTTAGTAGAGATGGGGTTTCACCATATTGACCAGGCTGGTCTCGAACTCCTGACCTCGTGATCCGCCCGCCTCGGCCTCCCAAAGTGCTGGGTTTACAGGCATGAGCCACCGCGCCCAGCCAAACATACTGTACTTCTTACATACATTCATTGATGTCTCATGTCTCCCTAAAATGTATAAAACCAAGCTGTGCACTGACCACCTTGGACACGTGTCCAGGACTTCCTGAGGCTGTGTCACAGGCACGTGTTCCTCAATCTTGGCAAAATAAACTTTCTAAATTAACTGAGACCTGACTCAAATTTCCAGGGTTCACACTAACATTCAGGCCTTCAACAGATTGCAAGGTGCTCAACCGCACTGCTGAGGGCAGGTCTGTTTTGCTCAGTCCACCCATTCAAAGGCTAACGTCTCCCAGAAACACCCTTGAAGGCATGCATACCCAGAAATCATGTTGAACCACCTGTGTAGGCACCCTGTGGCTCAGTCAGATTGACACATATAATTAACCATCACAGCCTATTCCCAGGCAGCTGGGTCACAGGCCAAATGGATTATTAGATCTGAAGCTTCTGAGTCCTGGTACCTATTAAATATTTCCTTCCTAGTAGCCACACATTGTGACTTACATGGGTAGACTTCTGGTTTTGTTTTTTTTTTTTTCACAGACAGAGTCTCACTCTGTCACCCAGGTTGGAGTGCAGTGGCGCGACCTCTGCTCGCTGCAACCTCCGCCTCCTGGGTTCAAGCAATTTTCATGGCTCAGCCTCCCGACTAGCTGGAACTACAGGCGTTCGCCACCACACCCAGCTGATTTTTTTTGTATTTTTAGTAGCGACGGGGTTTCACCATGTTGGCTAGGCTGGTCTCAAACTCCTGAAGTCAAGTGATCCACCTGCCTCGGCCTCCCAAAGTGCTGGGATTACAGGCATGATCCATCACGCCCAGCCTCATATGGGTTGACTTCTAAAGAACTCTCAGGTGACCAGGTACAGTGGCTCATGCCTGTAATCCCAGCACTTTGGGAGGCTGAGGTGGGCAGATCACTTGAGGTCAGTCGTTCGAGACCAGCCTGGCCAACATGGTGAAACCCCGTCCCTACTAAAAATACA